AATCCATGCAGCACAATTGAGGTGTTCAGAATCCAGGCTGAGCATAGCCTGCGAACAGGCTCTCAAGCTGAATTGAGAGCCTGCATCGATGACTAATGAATTTGAATATCTGCCCCGTAACGTTCGTTTTTCCAAATATGGAATGTCTATCCTTATATGGTGTTGTTTACAACTTTCGTGCAAACTAAATTTAGACCATGCAAACTAAATTTAGACCGTACAGTTTATACTGTTTTTCGAAATATAAGATATTGAAGCAAAAGTTTAAATGTTTTAAATACTGTTTTCTCAAAACAGAACATTTCGTGCTTTGAGATAAGATGGCCAAGACCAATTTGATCAGTTAATGTGTTTTTTATGCATAGTGCTAGCAGTTGACTTATATAGAGCTCAGCGGAATGATATAAATTATAGCATCTGACCAATGAGAATTTCGCGTCACGATTTGAGACGCAGATATTCAAATTCATTAGTCATCGATGCAGGCTCTCAATTCAGCTTGAGAGCCTGTTCGCAGGCTAGGCTGAGCATAGACTCAGATTATTTGATAGCGCAACAGCGCGACTAAATGCAAGAGGCTAAAATTTTGCGAAAAAGAGATATTATTTCACAGTTTTTCGCAGTAAAAACTAGTAACATATCGATGCCCAACCATGCAATTTCAGTTTGTGTAATGGTAACAGACAGAATGATAGCAAAAGAAGGAACGTTATGAAATTTACTTGTATACTAACTATAACACAGGAAATTTACAGCTAATTCAGTTGTGTCTAACTATATAAATAAATTACTTGCATACTATTAAAGCTTGTTTGTAGCGGGGAATTTTGTTTTTTGTGCAGCGTTACGCAAGCGATATGCTTTGGTATACTAAAACAATAGCAAGTTAAGATGTAAGGTAACCAAAGTTGTGAATTGAGTATAAACAAGCGTTAGTCGCCATCTTTAACGGCTGGATTTATAAGCTTTGCGTTGTCTATTGACAAAATGTTACGTGTTAAGCTTTCTATCAGGCTAATAAATGTTGTGCAAAAAATGTAACTACATAAATAGGGTTATTGAGTTGTGTCTCTTCATAATTCAGTATGCGCTTCATGGACGGGTTTCTGCATGATCCGACGACGTTGATCGAGTCTTGACTGTTTCTTGGCATGAAATGCGTCGTGGAATCTTGCATTATGCGGATTGGTCTCGGACTGATATTCGTGTGATTTTCCTTCGTCACCATCGTCGTCATTTTCAGTTGATTCAGAGTCTTCCCATGGATCTGAAGATTTATCATCATCTCCTTCATCATTTTCAGCCTCTTCTTTTATCTTCGCCAAGAAGTCGTAACCTTCAAGTCGAGGCTTCCATTCACTTGTTTCAAGTTTACCTAGGTGAAAATGTCACTTTAAGCCATCGCACATCCTCAGAAATAATTGGTGGTTGTGGTGTTGAACTCAGGTGTTTAATTTTTTACTGATGTTACTCTAAGTGCATCTCCCCACACCAGATAAACTAAAAAATTGCTTCACCACGGTGGATTCACTAATCAGCAAAAATTAAAGACTCTTTGTTTAAAGAATCACAGTCAACCGTGATGTTTTGCGCGCTAAAATGTTTTGATTGTTTTGTATTCCATTTTATTAGCCAATTTAGTGACGAAAGATTGATATCCGAAGCGTATGCTTATCAATCTGCATTATTCTTAGACGATGTCATATTTTCATAGTTGGAAGAATTTGGCGTGTGTGTTTATTTTAACCAATGATTTTAGAAAGTTTTCTCAGTTTATAAAGTAGATGACTAATCATGGCTTCTGTATTTCCCGTTCGTGGAAGACCAACAAGTGAGGGTAAATCAAAAAGAATATCGTTGACAAGTTAACGTACGTCCTTTGGACAGAAAGGAAAGAAAGCCTGGGAATACGGGGCTCTCGCATAGCGAGTTTGCCGAAATCCTGCTCCATCAAAGCATGGACGAACTGCGTGAACGTAGCAGGCGATGGGGCAGGAATCAAGATTTCATCAAAACACCAGCGGGTAAAAGTATTAATGTTTTTTGTTTATAATAAAGCTAATGCATATCATTCTTAGTGTACGACTATTTTCGAAGACAACACTATTTTTAGCTCCCTGTATTAAGTAAACATTCACATAGCGCGCGAAGCATCACGGTTGACTGTGATTCGTTAACACACTACAACCACCAGACGTTACATCACAAGAAATATACAGATATCAAAGAAACTAGAATGAGTTTTGGCTTCTGAAATATCACTTACTGGAACTGACTTGACCTCGTAGCTCATCAGTTGGTAGAGCGTCGTACGGCCAAAGGTTGCGGGTTCGATTCCCACCGCGGTGAAGCAATTTTTCAGCTTGCCCAATGTGGACACACTCAGAGTAACATCAGCAAAAAGCTATCTCGTTGAGGAACAATTTGTAAATTTCATTCATTCCTCGAATGTTTACCCGCCACCCTTTTAAATTCGTGGAAAAAATTTGGCGTCCCAGGAAGCAAACAGTGTTTTCCAACAAATTCAAATAATCATTTTTGCAAGTGATTTTTGAATGTAATATAAAATGAACAAGAAACTACAACATCCTTAAAACAGCCAGTCAATTCTAATCAGACAAAATATACTCAAATGTACGAGCCAAGGCGTCAAGAGAAAGGGATTTTGCTCGAAACGTCGATAAGTATATTTTTGGTTTAGAATGGACGTTCTGATCGCGGAGACGCTGTCGCCAACAAAAGTATTATATATTCTATGTTGCGATCATTATAACCATGAGTGGGTGAAAAGTGTACATTATTACAACGGCCGATTCCCTTCCGTTTATGATTTAGGCACTTATATCTTTACCTGTGAACTCTTGTGATCCAGATAAACAAGCCTTTATCCAAGATACTAAGCTTTCCTTCTGTAGCTCACCCTTGTAGGTGTACGTTGCGCCCTAAAACATGAAATACTGAATTCAGTTCTTTCCGTAAAGTAATGCTTTGTAAAGGTACTCATAATTCAGCTACTTCAAGGCTGCAAAATTTTACCTCAACAAACCATCTATATCTATCTATCTATCACTGCATTACCAATCTGACCATTCTAATAGCGCACTCTAGGCGTAAAAAAAAATACCTGTGGTTCCGGTTTCATATCGTGAAAAAATTAGGGTCGGTAGGTCGGAAATATATATTTTTTTAAATATTTTTTTTCATGGTTTTGCCGTTTTTTTGCTGGGCGATTTGCAGTAGAGTCCCGACATCAATATTAACTAGAGATGCGTATTTCCCATGGACGAATTTAGGCAATTTGGTTCAATAATTAGTGTGACAACAGACGCCATTTTGGCACGCTGCATGAGCAGCCCGCAACCACCCGAAGAAAATAGGGTCGCACGGTCAATTGCGTTGAAAAAATAATAGGGTCGGCAGAAAAAAATAGGGTCGGTCGGGAACCGGAACCACAGGTATTTTTTTTTTTACGCCCTAGCATTTCATCTTCAAAACAGACCACTATCTTATTTTCAAGTTTAACGACAATTTGCAATGCATCTGATCTCCTACTTGCATTCGCCTCGGGACATCACAAACATATGCTGTAAACAACCCACTTTTATCGTCCACGGGCCGGCTGTTCAAAGTGCGATTAGCGTTTTAACTTCATTGGTTAAAATTTAACCCGCTTTTGTGGTTTGTGCATTTCTTCACGTTTGTATGTTTTAAGTCTTCAGACGAGACACGATTTCTGAATAAAGATTTCAGGCAGTTGGCTGCGAACATTTCGAACAAATGGCTCCAGACCATGTGAACTGACAGGGCACAAAATACAGACCTTTTGATGGTTGACAAGAACAATGGCAGAAGTTATTTCAGATTTGTCGTTGTCTTCTCGAGTGTACGCTTCCAGAATATCACGATTTACCTTCACAGAACTAAGAAAGACAAACATTTTCAATAGTCTTTCATTCGGCTGAACAGTGCCATAGCAATGTTTTAGTAGTGTTACATTTTTTCTCAAATAATTTCTTCTAGATATAATATACTATAGTCATTCTTTTTAATTTTGCTAGTGAATAACGAATGGCTGCCTCAAGAGTCAAGTCTCATTATCTTGATAGTGCTTGAAACGTTCTAAAACTCATTAGAAGAGATGTGGGAAGCCATATATTGACAGGGTGGGTTAAACATATAGGTCAGGGGGCAGATCATTAATGAGATATGGACTAATAGCGGCTGCTTAAAGCTCCATTTGTAAGCTCACAGTCTACCTCGGTCTGCTTCACCTCAGTTCCGGTTCTGTCTATCTATTCACAATGTAACCAGTCATTGAAAAACCCTGATAGGGAGTGTGCTGTGAAATATCTGTATATTTGTATCTATCTATATATCTTCCAAGTTACATAGGAAAATGCATTTGCTTGACATTAAAACTAATTTAAACAGGAAAATTCGATTTGTAAACAATTTGACAGCTTTAAGAATATCTTCTCATTATAAATATATTCTGGCTTTAATTGGTCAGAAAGCACCGGCTAATTTTCAGTATTCGGCATTTATTACGTATTTTCCGCCGATGACGTCATCAGCGTCCCATAATTGTTTTTTTGGATCGAACTTGCATCCAAAAAAAAATTATTGGACTCTCTCGTGCCCAAACCCTTGCGCGGCCAAAAGCTTGAACCTATAAGCGCGCGCGAAAAAAAAAACAATGGCCTACAGCAGATTTGCTTCGCTGAATGAAAGTGAACTCTCCAAATTATTGGCAGATAAGGATAGTGAAAGCACGAAAAAAGCCACAAAGGGGTAAATAGAAGTAGAAATAGAATATTTAGCTGACCTTTGACTTGGTGCAAGGTGTTTGATATTGAAATTGTACTTTTCCTACCTCATGAACCGGAATCGTTTTATACGTTTCTCATGTCTTTAAATGTATAATAAAAAAGTTATTGGATTCGGCTTTCGCATGATATCAAGAATTATTCAGACCTCGGTCCATGTTATCCGCCTCAGCTTCGCTTCGGCAGATAACATTGACCTCGGTCTGAATAATTCTTGATATCATGCTCAGCCTCATCAAATAATTGCTTATTATTCAGTGCTATACTCCTATAATAGTTGTCACGACAATCTTCAGGCATACTCACATGTCAACCCAACAGAAATTCATTCCATCTGTTTCAGCAGACTTTACGATATCAGTAATGAGGGAGTTAATTTCGTCATTGTCTTTGTTTATGAAAGCAATCAAAAATGGTTGTCCTTTACTGAAATATGTCGGAAAGTTCAATGGTGTCAGCTCTCCCTGAAGAAAAAATACACACATGAACAACTTCATGAATTTTATTAGTGGGCGATCGTAGATTAATGACCTGATTTATACTAAGCCCATATTAATTGTCAGGACAAACATGAGCAAAGAATGAAAGAAAAGATAGTTCGTCTGTCCATCAATCTATCTATCATTTCGATATCAAGAAATGTATTTATGATAAAATCATATACGATAAAATTGGACAGATTTACTAGAGAGAGCATGAACTATCTCGAAGAGCTGGCTAGAATAGAACTTTTATACCACCAGTGGTCCTGATGTTTTCCTGATCATTCGTCGAACATAGTCGTAACATAGTCGTATCACTTTAGTCAAGATCAACTGTATATAGAACATTTTATCCCAAACAATCGGAAAAACCTACATGCAGTTGGAAATATTCTATATCATTACTGAATCAATGTGCTTTACGAGTCAAAACTCCTGTGGTTATACGTAAACCCTAAACATAGAAGGCGCAAAAATCCCATGATGGTTACTTTGTAATAACCCTTAGAATTAAGTACTTATGTACGTCACGCAATTTTCAATCCAAGCATTAGGTATACGCAATGCATTGTGGGATGCATGTGGGTCAAATATTCAATGTCTGACAGTCAATTGTTGCACTAGTTTCATGACAATTATTGGCATTCATTGCACAAGAAATTTTTCGAAACGAAGAAAGATATCACAACAGTATAATTTTCGTAAACGTACATATTGCAGAAGACTTGAGTGTTTTACAAACTGAATAATGGCTTCCTCGGCATACTCTCCCTCAAAGACAACTTTACTTTGCAATGGATCATCTCTTTTTATCAAAACAACACTTGGCACACGGACATTCAGTCTGGCAGCACTACACAAGAAATAAGTAATAAATATATCTTCTTCATATTGTGATAATTTGGAAATAGACTTGCACTCTTGCCTCAATGGTTAATACATATAGAATGCAAGATCTGAACTTGAAATTCGTTAGAAAATCAATACAACTCATTGTGAATATATTAGTATAGGTGTACCAAAAAATATGCGTCCCTTATATCAACGCCGCTGCCAACGCTGGACCCCAAGGTTTTAGGTTTAACCAATAGCATTGCTTAATTTAACGAATAAAGATTTTTTCTCCAACCGAATAAATATACTTGGTCGCACGGTTTTTAACGTGCAGTTCCACACAAAATGTACAATGCTAAACCCATTTGTGCAGTTTTCAAACACAAATGTGGAGTTACCAAGTTAACTGACGAAAACATTGAATAAAATATAACTTGTAGTTATGTGCGGGAAATATGCAGTCAATGAGCATTTCTGGGGGAGGACCTGCACACTCTCCTAGCTGTTTTCCTCACAAATCACTTCAGAACGAAGGGTAAAATTGAGGCAAGCGAAGCCCCGCGAAAGAAATTATAGAGTGCAAATTTAAGGTTATTAGATAAATGTTGAATATTCATTACGAGGTTTAAAACAGTTTTTGTGGGTGAGATAAATCTTCGCCAGATCTTAAGAGATTCTAGATTTAAAAAGTTTCTGGGGAAACATGCCACAGAACATCCCCTTGCCCAACATGGAATTTGTTTGGCCTGTTCCCCACCCAACCAAACCATTACTCGGCCACCTGTGCAAATTAAGAGTCTATCATAATTGCAACTTTTAACGTTAAAAATCTAATTCAGGTAAAAAATCTTTTGACCCGCCTCCGTCAAACACCTGATGTTTCGTAACATCCCTGTATGAGAGGTTTTTCTTGAAAAATACCTGTTGGTCGTCTTTTTGTGGCACTTTCTATCATTGCAAGGGATATTTTATTTCCTACAGCTCATTAGTATTCTGTCTTGTTTAGGAATAACTCAAGCATGTAAGCTGAACCTTCTTGACACAATCAATGTAACATTCCGATCGCAAATAACATTTGTACAAGTCGCGAAGTTTTATATACTTATAGACTTAATGCTCAACAAAGCGTCGTGTAATCATTATGATTTTGTACATACGCGTCTGAAGCAACTTTTCCAGTAGCATATCCAAATAGAAACTGTCCTTCCATTGCACGAGCAGCTGCATTGAAAGTGGATACGTCTTGAAAAATAAAAAGAGCAATCGTTTCATGACCTCAGAATTAACCTCTACGAAGATTTGTTCCCATGAATAGTAACAGTAATATTTTTTGTATTTTAGTATCCAGGCGCTATAAATAGGCAAACGTAATGTAGTACCACAGAATAGAGACCTTACAGCAGGGCGATTCGACCAAAAAGCGTAACCTCCACCACGCATTGATTCGCAATGATTCTTCATCAAAATGATGTCGCCATGTTTCTTGCCAGTGCGCTTACGAGAGGCATTCAACCCACTGAACGTCCACCATTTTGAATATTTTCAACGGTTACGCCAAAATCATAGGCAAAACCAAGACGTCGGCCTTCTGTAAGATCTGTATTCTGTGGTACTACCATGTTGGTAACGTGGTAACGTGATAACGGCCAAGGCACCACTCGTGATGGAATAGTGTTCTCTACTTCAACCGTGGTTTGTATCAAGGTGAATTCCTTGAAATACTTTCAATTATATACTTACAATCACTGCTCTCGATGGAAAATAATCCAAGAACTGAAACATCTGTATATAGTATTGACGTCATCGGATATTTTCCTTCTTGGAATCCAACTACTTCTCCATCCGAGGTTAACTTGAGTGGAAATGAAGCTTGGAGGCTAAATTACGAGAAATATAGATGGGACTGCACGCAGGCTAATGTCTCGATCTAATAACAAACTGCCATATTTACTGCGTTTACTACATACTGTATTTCGGCATAATTAATAAACGCCCCTTTCTCTATAAGTCCTCAGCTCAAACATACAGTACCTGAAATTCATAACTCACCATGGGTCTTACGCTCGTATTCTAAAAGCACACTCGCACTCAATGAGTGGAAGTTCAATCTGATCTTCTCTCGAGTGTCATTGCTGTTTTTGAATAGCTGCAGGGTTAGTGTCGTACCTTACTATGTGACTACTCACCCTCCAGCTATTCAAAAACAGCATTGACACTCAAGAGAAGCTCAGATTGAACTTCCACTCATTGAGTGTGAGTGAGCTTTTAGAATACAGGTGTTAATGTCGTTCTTAATAGTGGATCTACGGTATATTATACGTTTACAAATTGACCGTAGACTTACAGTTTAACGGTTTTCATCAAGCTCGATTCATCCCAGACCCCACGATAATCCATTGGAGCTTGCTTTTTCCTAGGTAAAAAACAAATTGTGAATTTCTGTTCGACTGTAACTCTGTAAGAAGTCCCTCTGTAATGCCTTTCTACAACCCTCTTGACAAGCATGAATCTTTATTCCCACCATCCCAGAGTGCTTTCTGCATTACCATGTGAGTTCAGCGGTATGTTTTAAAAATAGCGAAGGAATACTGAGTAGCTCTGTACTCTGTATAGCTTCTCAATTTTGAAAATATTTTAGTTAAATAAGCCAAATACATAAATATAATGTATTGAATGTGACACAACGAATGACGAGAGGTACAAAAGGTCCTTCTATATGATAATCATCTTATTTGCATATTTGGCGCGTTTAAACATAATTTCTAATGAGTGATCCGTTCACGAATAACCAAACAAGATTTTATTACTGCAAAAATAAGTTATTGTACCATTCATCACTGCACAAATTGGTCACCACGTACTCCACTTCAAAATAGTCCTTCGCATGTAATGTACAGTGTACATCGCCTGATATATAAAGGTTTACAAGACGTAATATAATATGTACCTGTAAAATCTGACAGTTGGATACAATTTAATATTTTCCTTGGCACAAACATCTTCCCAATCAAAACAGTTGACCTGCAGTACACCAATCGTTGTCTCACTACCATCAGGCTCAACTAAGATAATACAACTTAATATGTAATCGAGAGCAAAGGAGAAAAACGGATTGGGGAGTCTCAAGTAAAAAAAACCCAACTACCCGGGATTTTTCACGATCATTAATCTGTACTACATCAAACTAAAACAGAACGCAACAGACTTATCCCCGGAACAGTGGCGCCGTGGCCGGGAGGGGGGGGGGCAGGGGGGGTTATGGTCCCCCCCCCCCTATTGTTGAGACCCGTCGGAAAATTGTCAGTGTTGTCGGAATCTTCGTGGTGAAGCATCGGACAAAGTGCTACGGAAATCGGGGAAAGTGCTATGAAAGCAATTGTAATGTTATTGTCCGGAAGGGAGGGGGGGGGGATTTAAAATGTTGTTGTCCGGAAAATTTTTTCCTCATTGGGGTTTGTCGGAAAATTACTGCCTTTGGCTCTATTAATTCAAGCACGGGGAGGGGGTAACAGAGAGGGGTCTAAATAGTAAAATAAAGTAAACTTAATTCGAGGTTAATTAATAAATCTAATCAGTACACAATAATAATCTTTTTCTCTAAAAAGGGAAGGGTTCATTAGAGGAACCATGCTCTAATCTATTCAGGGAGGTTTATATATGATCCCGCTTTGCTGAGACGAGTTGGATGGCAGGATTGTTTTAATGTAACGATGCAATGGCGGTGCTGTGGACAATGTATTTGTGTTCTGCGCCTTCGGCTGGATCTATAGCACTAAAATGCTCATCCATGCCTAACTGTGTCCATACAAGATCCTTAATTGTGTCTTCAATGGGCCCATAACATGTCGAAAACTATAATACTCAATTACGTCTCTACATTACCAACTATATCTTCCACAGAAAACTGAAAACTACTTATAGTACCTAATTTTTTTGCAGCGGCAGCATATGATGGCGAAAACGCTTGACTTCTTGCATCCCCTAAGGAATAAAATATTCGATATACTTGGATTATATAGTCATAGCCTAGGGTTATTTAAGAATCAAAATTTAAATAACCATAGTAGGGTTGTTATCACCTCTTAGAAATATAACAACTTACATGGAAGAAAGAAGAAGACAACAGAGATGTCATATTGTTTCAGAGTTGTGTTAAAACTTGTATCATTGAGTTTCGGTATGTGCGAATCATTCACAGCTCTGGTGTAAAATATTTCATATCCAGCCGCAGCCACCTCGTCATCTTCGGTCTCTTCAGCTGTCGAAAAAAAATAATAAAGAGTTACGGGCTAGTCAGACTTTGGTACCGACATCGCAAGGTGGTAGATTTGAGTCCTACTTGGACCGAGGACCTACACTAACGCAACTTCTTCCATGCAGATAGGGTTTCTTGAGCTATGAGGCGTAGCCGTGCAGGTGACACACTTTTGCGGGCGGAGTTCGCTTCTAATCCCAGTAATATTGTTTCGCGTCAGCGCATATTGGGAGAGTGTTTTCAGTTTTACTCTAACAAACACCGCATGTTTTCTTAGCGCATTCTTGTTTTCCTCCGTTGTAACGTAGAGAGCTTCGAGGAGAGCTTCACCACTATCGCTATCATTAAGCGACCATTAACCAATCATATGCGTACTAAGCCAGTGGCAGTTAGTGGAAGTCAGACCTGAACCTCTCAATTGAATGAAAAGAGATGGCCCGTACTGAACTCTATAGAATCTTATTCAGTGCTTACTCTAGTACGAGGACGTGACAGTCTTAAATTTTAACTATGAACTACCGGTTGTAAACGTTGATGATGTTGTAGTACAACGAAAGCTTATGCCCGCAAATCTAAACCCGCAGAAAGGAGGGACCGCTCGAAGTCTAAACACCTGCAGGTAAATAACTAGCTACTTCATCTTATGACTTTATTTGATTTTCAAATTGATACTGTCTTGAAGACGATAGCTACAGTTTTTCCGTGGCGTCCCCGACACTTAAAAAGTCCCCGATTGATTCGTTATTCTTACGTGGTCTATCTTCGTCCGAATAATCTTCAGCTTCCTCGGCATTATGTACATCATCAATTTGATCAACACTTTGCTCACTTCCGGTATGAAAGTTTTCCAACTCTATATAATCTAAACCACTGGCAGGCAGAATGTACACATCACGTTCTCTAAGAGAGAAAAATAGCGACATGCACGTTTCAATTTCCGTTATGTATCAATAAATTTTCTTAAAATTGGTTGCTCGGAATAAAATTGCTGCCTGCTGATGAGACCACGTACTAATTTTTATCTAGCAATAATACGTCCCTAGTTGACCGACAGTGTGTCGAGGGAAAATTTCCCCCAATATTTGTTCACGAGTAATTTCAGGTACAATTGACAGGCCAACATGAAGTTAAAAGTGAATACAAGCTAAAAATGCCAAATTTTAGTTGCATTTACGGCTTTCCAAAGGCTAAATGTTCAAAATGTTCTCCACAACATCTTCGCTACGTCACTGATTCCTAGTAATTAGATAAACGGATTCCCCGAGATCACTGTAGATATATATATAAGCTCATTACTTTGGTTTATCTTACCCGATTTGTTTCTCCACGAAGTCAATCATATCGTAATAATCGGGAGATCCGTGGAATAATGTAAACTTAGTAATAGGTTCTCCTTTCTTGTGTAAACGTACGGTCGGGTACGTCTTAACTCCCTAGAATGAAAAATATATTAATAATAGCTCTTATAGTATTGCCAAAAGAAATTCGTTTGTAACTTTCAATGCAAAAACCCTGTGTACGAGGTTGCTTATTTTAGTTATATAAACAAAATTCATGGAAATGCACATGTATATATATATCAATTACATTTAAGAATTCAACATAATAGAATTCTTTCCAAAATCCTTACTAATACGAATCTTCTTTGGAAATAATTATATTAATAATTATATTATATATTAAATAATTATATCCAATTTTCATACTAATTGCAATTTCCATACTATGGATATATTATGGGAATAGTATGGATATACCATGGATTTAGTAATGCAATTGCAAATTCCATAACCTGGACACTATTTTTTCCAGTCCAAGCTAGGTTAAATAAAGGTATGATTATTGGCACCACAGTGATTAGTGCATGCTCCTTTCGCCCCTGCCACGAGTGTGGGTTAGAGTTTTCTGGTTCAAATATCGCCTCATACGTATGTGGAAGAGTGCTTCGACAGCAGATTTCTTCCCGGTACTTCGATTTCCTCCTGTAATAACACTGGACCAATACAAGATGACTATTTCCGTAAACGTTCTGGACCTCAAATAAGAACATTTAGAATTGACATAGCATGAAGACACTTACAAATTGAGGATCCATGTCTTGTTCATTATAAAAAATTGAAAATTTTATGTTTCTTTCTCTTGTACTACTTCGTCGAAAATGTCGATCATACGTCCTACTCAGTCGTTGGTAGTCGTAACTGAAATCTGCACATACTTCAATCGCTACAAAAAAAACAGTGCACAAAAATCTTGCTTTCAATGAATCAGGCTACGATAGAGAGTCGGAGTGGTTCTTAGCCTTACACAATTTTAAGTGGGTGCACTTTCAATTTGTGAACGTTTACTGGTTCATCATATTGCCGGACAAGAATGTCATTTTAAGACACATTAACCAAGATGACGGTCAGGTGACCCGATCTCACCCAATGAGATGACATACAGAGTATTATTTTCTCTATCGACAACACGTACAGTACAGTGTATTTCTGCTCGTTGCCACCCATTTCGCTTACATGACTGTATAATGGAAATCTTGCATTTTATACCTATACATTACAATATCGCAAATATGTAGGTATACACTCGTTTGTAAGTTATCCACCGAAAATGTGAATTGGGTTGTAACAGCTGTACGATGATAGGTCTATTTAAATATGACATGTCAAAGCTTTCCAAGTCCATTTCGGAAAATGTTTTAGTTTAAAACCTTAGTTCCCTTCTAGTTTGTGTCCACAATACTGTAACTACGCTTTAGTGATGTTTTTGGTTGGTCAAATAGTAAAGTTAACATGTCTCGCGGCAACGTCTTCACAACATACTCCACAACAACGTTATATATAAAGGATGGTTTACACTATCAAAGTTTCTGTGATTACAGCAACCTCGTACCCAGGGCTAGCCGCGAGTTGAAGTTCAACTCGCGGCTAGCCCTGGGTACGAGGTTGTGATTACAGTAGGAATTTTGCACAGGTAAATTCTAAGTTTTGAAGGATTTGTAAGAACTGTTTGAGGAAACTGACTCAGTGTTAAACACAAAGTCAATTCCATCAGACATTTTTTTGCAAAAATGCAAATCCTTCAAAGCTTAGCATTTACCTGACGTATGCAAAATTCCTACTGTGATCACAGAAACTTATTGATAGTGTAAACAGCCTTACCGATTCTATATAGGCTACTCAAGCGCAAACTTAAGGTAAAGCCGTAAAAGGTAATTTGTTGCAAGATAAATCCATTTAAAAGACGAAAACCTACATGGTTTACAAAAGGCTACCAGCAAGTAATCCGTTTCCAAATCATTCAACAATGTTAAATATTCCTGGGGAAAGTTAGCAGTTAGAGACCTGCTTTGCACTAAAGAGAAGAAACATAACAAAACATTAGCAGAGTTAATAATCAACTAAGAAAAATTGTGGGCTGATGTATATATCAACAGGGGATGAGGAAATCGTCTCGATATTCTTCGTGACACAGTGTTTAATATAGACTTTCTCCAAGTCTGTCTCGCAAACAGATTTCTATTTGGAAATAGAAAAGGACGCGCGGGAAAATGCGGTCATCGCGCCCTCTGTAGGCTAAATCCATTTGAAGGCCCGTTCACACTTGCAAATTTTTGCTCGATTTGTAGTGCGATTTTCTTGTTCTGCTGGATGTAAACGGGTGGATGAGTTATGAATGAACTCGTCTACTCGTTCACATCCATCAGGGGAAGAAAATCGCACCACAAATCGCAGTAAAAATTGCAAGCGTATGTATAAACGGCCCTGAGAAGCAGACTTGGGGCAAGTCTATGGTTATTACTGGCTATTCCGCTTTTCTCATGAATCAATAAGGTTTACTTGGTCCTTAATTGACCTCTATGGAGAACAGTTTGGACAGAAATGTTAGTACTATTACATATACTGTAAGAAACATTTTTCACTATATAAAATAATTTGTGGTGTAGGTATTTTTGATGAACTTATCCATATGATGTGTCTATCCAACCATGCAATTTCAGGGTTTTTTTCAGCAAAAGGTGGGTCACTTACCTAGGCTACCATAAATTCCAGAAGGATTAGCAATCAAGTCGTAAACAAAATCCACAAGGTTGTCTGTTTTCAAAGATTTCTCATGTGACAGAAATACATCAACATAGGCCGCAACTTCCTATAATAATGATATAAATATTAAATAATTATAATTTCGTACGTAATTTCACTATTCAAATAATAAACTATGGAAATGTATTTGGTAAAAAGAGATGGGCAATAGTATAGTTGACCACAAATTATTCTCTTATTATAGTTTCGGTAGGTATATTAAGAAAGGGCGAGGGGTTGATGCATGCATGTATTTCTAGTGTTATCCCATTAATGTGTATATGTTAGGGCTTTAAATAAAATTCATGAATTTTAGATCCAAATGGGATTTATTTTCAATAGTTTGGATCCAATTTAATTCCCAGCGGTGAATGCGATTTCGACCGACAATTATCATTATCCTTTCTAATGATGCAAAAAGGTATCATTGCCATTGGAACGGCTAAACTCAAGCCGGAATTTTTAATATTGTACTTTTTTACCGAATAACAATATGCAAATTAGGTAAATGCATGAATTAAGCATGCGTGAAACGGTGAAAGGCATTGCTGCCAAAAAATGAAAGTTTCAGCAGTTATTTAAAGTTTCAGCAGTTATTTAAAGGACTTAAAATTGAGCAAATTCTTGCCCATGAACTGAAAAAGCGTTTTAAACTTGTAAATTTCGCGCGCAAGCTATTTTTAAAGCTGCTAAAAAAATACACTCCCCCCCCTCCCCCCTGCTCTGGAAAATTTATCTTGACGAAATATTTTGGTTAATTCTACATCATAAGTACCCAAACAATCTATATTTATCAATTTGTGAAATTGAGAGCCGTTTCAAAATTGTCTACTTTTTTATGATACACCCTGTATACACTATACCATGTCAGGGAGGGGAAAATAGCTGACCATGAAACCTGCAGTGTTCCCAGAAAATGTTTATAGTCAGCAGAAAGAAAATACAACAAAACCCATTAAACATATATAGGTTGATCAAACATTAATCCAAACCATTTTAACCTGCAGTACAACTACCCTACATTGAAGTGAAAGCTGCCTTAAATTTTCGCATAGTTTTGATTCAATCTACAAATGATTGTGAAGTCGTTTAGTTCAACAAAATATTCATGTATAGCATCTAATTAGCCTTTAATTCTCACGGCCGATTTTCCCACCATTTTGGGGGTACTGCCTCTCCTATGCACGTTTGAGAGTCTCTGCACCACGAAATGCAACTTTTTAGCATTGTAGTTGTTTGTATAATGGTAAACGTACAGTTACAACTTTTAAAAGCTCTTTTTCACGCTTTTTGAATTGTCTAGAATCTTTCACGAGGGCAGATAGTGCGGATGTGTAATGGCGGATTTTGGCCTTCGTGCATGAGAAAGGCTAATTTATCACAATGTGTCATTGTAAAGAATAGTTATTAACTGTTGATACCTCACAGAAAATACTCGTCGTTCCAGAAAATAAAATATTCTTCCGCCCACTATTACTATGCATTGCTACTGTCTTCCGAACGCCATTATCATGTTCTACCTACCATATCATCATCGCCTTCTGATTTATCTGCAGGTATAAAACCAAGCACGGGAAAATCACTGTCTTCTGCCAGACCAAAGGACTGAATGAATCCTGGATGCTTCTCACTGGAAAATAAAGTGACTACATCAATAACGTCACGACAGATCACCGACGGGGTCAATTTCGATTATTTGTTCTGATTGATTGTCTTGTTCTACAGGGTGTCTTAAAAAAGTGACCTTTAGAAATCACCCTTTTGTTGTAAACACCCAAACTTCATTACCTCGTGGAGTTTAGAATGCATTGTAATCGTACGAGCATATTAAAACTGCATAAATTGTACATGAACATTCTAATTGAAAGTCAAAACGACTTAGTCCAGTAATATCGATTAAAATGGTTCAACTGACTAAAGAGTTTTTACTGCGTTACGCGCTGCGTTAAATCATGGATAATAAAATACATGGATAGGAAACTAGCTGACGTGACCTAATGTTTTCAATGGGATGATGGCGTTGCAACCTAGTTGCAAACCAAATTCT